GAAATGCAACAAAACACTGGAAAGGCAAAAATACAGGTAAAGAGAAAAACAGTATAAAAGGAAGGAAAAGGAAAGTTGTAACCATTGGAATGTCAGTCGGCCTTATATGGTCAAGACTGGGCCATTCTGGCGCCTTTTAAATTAAATTAATGGGTGCTGTCGCCAATTTCTATGCCATCAGCTAGGAGCTCCCTATTTTTAAAATGTTAAATCGATAGCATATAAGGGCGCATTAACCGAATTCATCATTATGGCAAAAATTGCCTTCCGCCGGAATCGAACCAGTCAACTCTGAAGTTCGAAGCCCACCTGGCGGACGTGCTGAACTATTAACTGAACAACTTAGTCCAGAAAATGATCAGCTGCCTCAGCTGCATTGCTGAAGAACGTCAAAAACGGGTGAATTATGAAAGAAGTATAGCGGGTTCACTGGGACTTGCTGGTACTTATTTGTTGGAGACGTTAGGCAAAGCAGACGCACATTTTATCTTTACCTATGTCAATATTGTTATATACATATATGCATACATAAAAGTAATATCACTAGCTGCCGCCTTCCATTATGCTGTTAATGCTGGAGTCGCTAAACTGCTGCTTGATTAAGCTTTTACGGTTACAGGTCGACTCAACCTCTTGCTGTTCCGTTGAATGAGTAGCATTTGCATGACATTCGGTAGTGCCTTTGAATCTCTGCGGTAAACACATTACAGAAGTAGCTACGATGACATCACTACGGTCAGTTTACTTCGAAAAATGTAAATATGTCATATGACTTTCATTTAATAGCTTGACTATGACTTTAGTTGTATTTGTTAGCTTAACTACTATTTTACCTTATTCAAGCATATTTGCCCTTTATCTATGAAATAAGATTCTTCAATAATCTTGTTCGATCATCAAACTTTCAACATGCGCCAAATTTATATGTAAGAATAGAAACCGAAACTGAACAAAAGGAGGAGTGTGCAAGTAGCCAAATACCGTAAACCTGTGGCCTTCTTACGAGGCCTCTTATGGAGCAGAAAACATGGTTTCACAGAAAATCAATTTCCATAAAGTTCTTGTACTGAGCGAGCTTTGAGTGTCATCAACATTTCGTGCAGCTTATACGGTGCCGATGCTCTTTGTCACAATGCATCAGAAAAGAGAATAACGTTTTCGAAACTATCAATTTTGTGGCTCAGTTTGACCATAAAGGAAGTGCCAGGGAGATCGACATTTAAGCAGAAAGAGGCTTTCTTTTTCCTTTCAATTTTCTACTGCGAATCCGGCATTCAGCAGCGTGAACTATGGACTCCGAGGCTATGCTCAACCGCCTTCCACGTCAACAGAACTACTCGTATTAATAATTCTTTATAACGATCCAAACGAAAGCAAGTTTGAAAGTTTTACATTAGTACAATTTCCAGCTGAAGCTCTTTGATGTCTTGAATGATCGTCTGGTACTGGTCATCGTTAAGGACGGTACCAAAGTCCGTGAAAAGAACTATGGATTTCTGCGCAAACGACCTACCCCGCGTGCCGGACACCAGCACATGCATGGCGACCATCAGTGCGTCAGCAACTAAACACACGAGCCATGCAACTGACTAAACTAAAACGAATCGGGGCTTACGGTTCGCTTCTTGACATTCAGATGGAATACCTTCATCGATGTACTTCACTAAATTCCAGTCGGCCATAAGTAGATTACGCACCAATGATATATGCTGATATTCAGTTTCGGTATTACTGGCCAGTGGATTTTCAGTTTCGATCGTTCCGAAAAGTACTACAGCAATCTCATCTTTAGATTCAGTGAAAATCTGAATAAATTATTCAGCAATCAATCATCACATTAATTAATACTCTGCGTTGCACAATCCAGCTGACGCACTGCTGACACAGACTTAATGCGGATGACCGTCCGGGCGGTATTTCTCTCATTGACGGACCAACGTCCATGCAGAATACGATCGCTTCCTAAAAGTGCAGTATCAGAAATTATCAGCATGGCAGAAGAACTGCTTGTTCATTTTAAAAAATTGTACATGGTTAGCAGAAAAGGCCAAGAAACGTGTTGCTATGTACCTACATTATTGGCGATAGAAGTTAACGTCATTAATTCCTTTCGCCATGTAAAAAACGCGATTATGGTTAGTTTTGACATAGCAATCACCCATAAGCAAAGACAACGCACCATTAACCAATGATAAGGTATTCCTATACATGCCGGAATTTATACTGATTCATTGCCAATATTTGACATAAGAAATGTTCTAGACAGAAAGTCTTCTAATACGATCGCTATAGGCACGAACATGCGTCGACAAAATTCTTAATTCTGCACAGGGCTTCGGTAAACACCATACTGTTCACCAAGAAAGCATAACTGCTATGCGTCATGGCGTTGTACAAAACCTCAGCTATATTCCTGTCATGTATTGCGCTGAACATACAAGAATATTATCATGTTTGAAACCTAAAAATCAACAGGTATCATTTCAAATGCTGGTTTGAAAGAAGAATTTTGTCGATACATTTTCTATAGCCTATAACCATCGAGTTGGAGAACTTTTTATTCAGTTTTCGCATGTGACAATTCGTCTGTCCACCGACAAGTGAATCATTATTCCTGGCGTTGCAACAAAATAAAGGTCCAGATGATATTTCGTGCATCACATAAACAAACCCATAGATACTGATGTTATATTTCACTAAAATCGCACAACGCCAAAAACCTGTAGAAAAGTACGCATATCTTAAAGCTGCTCTGCTGCCTGAAACATCTTTCGTTCTCTTGTTCAACAATGCATCTTACTAATTATATTATAAGCCAAACTTGTGAAATACACTGTGCTATCAATCTGTAAACATAACCATAACATTTTTCGAAAAATGATTACACTCATTTCAGTCATTAACAAATCGATAGAAATCAACTTGTCTTCTGGACAGAATCTTCGCATTTAAAAGATTCTGTTTCTCCCTCAATTCTGGAGGACCTAAACCACTCTTGGCATAGAAAAAAATTTCAAATCCTGTTTCATACATTCTGATATCATAATCTCAATCGTTAGCTGTATTCGTTCACCAGAGGATGAAAATATGGTCGAATAAAAGTAACTTACTGCTAATAATCAAGAACGAAACACGATCATGCAAACTAATTTCTGTTACGATTATGTAAGTTGCATAAGCTACATGTAGGCTGCACAAGAACTGTTAGTTTACGTTAAATATGTCCTGCAGGAGAGAACAATATCGTAACATAAGTAAATAAACTTAAACTTGAAAGGCTTGACAAAAACTGATTCCTGCCAGACATGGTATTGTTTTAACAATGCGCTTGAGATCCCCACTTTTAATTTTTTCAGCCTGAAAATTTAACCAGTTTTTTGATTCAGCTTTCAGAAGACCGATTAAGGACCTGGTAAAGGAGCTAGTCTAAAATAGTCGATAACTGAATGCACGTCGAGCAACAAATATCAAAGCACTAAAAACCATGACAAGAAAACTGCCTGAAATCAAATATTAAACAAGTCGGAAAATACGATTGGTCACGAATTAGTAAGCATTATGAGATCTTGATGAAAGGAAAATCGAGCTCGATTCATAGTAATATTCAGTAAATAAATGCATGTAAGTCCCCATTAATAATGAATGTTCAGTCTAACCAACGAATAATAGGTTCACAGATCCAAGATTTCATCAAATCCTGCATTCTGCCGCTCTTCTTTACGTTGCATCTGTCTACATCTGCAGCGTCCGGAACCTTTCGAAACCACTTGACCGATTGTATAACCACGCCGCTGACGAGATTAGCTACATGCAAACAAGAAGCCTGATAAACAAAACGGTTCCTCTGGGCAGTTCTATTTCAATCGTCCCAAACTCACTCGTTGTACCAATGTTTCTAACAATGCCTTTCGAAACTGTCAAGCACAAGATCCGCACACCTTCCTTCCAGGTAACTTACTGAAGCGTACCCAAATTCAGTGGTTCAGTTCGCTGTTCGATGGATGGACAACGCTCTGGTCAGCCTGGTAGGAATCTACCTTTTCAGTGCTTGTTTTGTTTAATATGCGTCATAAAATTATACTTATTTTATATACTTATATACTTTACGAACAATATGATTCGAACTTAAGTCTTGCATTAATTAATTAAT